CAAGTCTCAACGTTTCAACCTATTCTCAATGTTGATACAACGTTGTTGTGCCGAATGGGAACGTTGTTGTGCCGAATGGGAACGTTGTTGTGCCGAATGGGTACGGTCTTAAAGCCAATTAAAAAATAATAATAATTTGGTTAAAATCCTCTGAAAGCCAAGATTGGGTAAACTACTTTAGTTGAATTTTGGGATGGTGGAGCATAGACCATTACTGCACTCGAGGTGTAATGATCCACCTGTAAACTTTGTAACGGGACAATGCATGCCTCGGATAGTTGTTCTGAAGAAAAAAAATCAATCATCTCAACAGCTTGAGTTTAGGAATCTTATCAGTTTTGCTCGAATATGCGAACTTTCTCTCATAGAAATCGTTTTTTATTTTTATTTTATCACCCTATATATACAGGGTGTCCCAAAAGTTAGTTTACCGAAGGATTTTCAACTTTGTTATAAATGTTGCGATATTATTGATTTGGTTATTAATTATCATTACTGTCAATACATGTTCTTATTTTAAAATTCATTTTAAATGGGGATGGATAGACGCATGACTAGAAGCCAGCGGATTTTTGAGCCAAAAAATGGTGGATGTCCAGAAGAAATTTTAAAGTTGGGGAAAAAAACAGCTTTCTATTATAAATTTCCTGATGCAAACGCTCCAAGGCAACAAGAAATTCGCGAACTTGGCTATAAGTTTGAAAATTTATATCCTGATGGGCTGTAACTTTAAATTTATTTCCGACATCCAGTTGAAATGGGTTCAAAATGAGTTCCTCCGCATCCAGGGCTGCCGCCCTCGAGTCGAGGACAAACAGGGCTGGCAAGGGCCCATCGAGGACGAGCAGGTCCGGCTAGGGCCCCAAAAGAGCCACGTGTGCATGATAGGGTCTATTGTCGAGTCGGCAAATCGTTCAATTAAAACAAATTCAGCAGCTGCCCCATACCCCAGCTCTGGGGTATGGGCATAGGCGCCGAACCCATGGCGGCAAAGGGGCACGTGCCCCCCAGAGAATGGTCAAAGTACAACAAATGCTGTTTCACAAAAGTTATGAAAAGTATGATATTTCTATAAGTTTAGCGCTCCAACTTTAGAACTCCAACATGGGCCCTCAGCCCTCTCCATGCCCATCCCCCCTTTCACACCCCACTCCCTCCCATCAATGTTCAGGAGTCTGGACCTGTGCGTATGGGGCATCCCACGAGCCCAGTTGTCACGCACGCCCTCCACTCACCAGCAACTGACTCAGCAGCGGTGACGATTGGAAGGGAACTGGCGAACCGCGGGTGCGCAGACGGGAGCGGAGATCAGGCCGCGCATGCGCAGTAAGTCCATTGCCAGCGAGGCTGGTGGTCGAAATGATGAGGTGATCCTCGAGGCTCATTTCGAACTTGAAGTTTCGATATTGCATTTATCTTTGGCACGGCTTTCGTGAAAAATGAGCCTAGCTTGAGTCCCGCCCGAAACCTGCAACGAAATTTTCCGGATTTCACGAAAAGTTTCTCCGCGTTCAATTCGTACTAATTGCTAAACAAATTTTGTAAAGAGCCATCGGCCTAACGAGCCCCGCCCACGAGGAAGTCATTCACGAACAAGCCAACTTTTCCCATCTTGCTAACTAGAGATGGAATCCGACCCATTGTGCGACCCGGAGTTGCGGGATTAAAAACGACACAAAAAAAAGTGTCGACACGTCAGAGAGATTTAACGACGGAGAAGCGGCGGGACAATCGGCGTCGGAACGAGGCCGAACGCCGGCGATACGGAATCGCGGGACCGTGACCGCCGGAACAAAGCCGAGAACGAACCCCGGACTTCCGGCATCCCTGCTACCCCTCGGCCCCCTCCGCTCCCCACGGCCCCCCCGCTCCCCTCGGCCCCTCATTCCCCATGGCAGAGCGGGACGCGAACGGGCGGCCGGAGCCGCTGTCTCCTCCGCGACCCTTCGGCAAGGTCGTCTTCAACAAGAGGTTCGCGGACGTGGATCACGGCAGCTTCCGGCATTTCGGGTCTGCTTCCAACGATCCTTCGAGGCATCACATTTCCGGTAGGACGACTTTCTGTTCCTGCGTTTTAACACCTGTCGGGTGGGAAGAAGGGAGTGACGCAACTCTTTTTTTTTATTACTATATTTAAAATTTTTTTTTTTAAACTTTATTTATTGTTATTTGTTTACTTATTTATTTTTATACTTTTTTTTATAAGTTCGATTTGACCGGGGGGGGGGGGGGGGCAAAGC